GGCAGCAAATTTATTGTTGGCTACCAGCAAATTTGACAGGGCTGGAAGGTGTCTTCTTTTTGAAAAATAATATTTTACAGTGTTGTTTATAGGTTGTCCAAGGTGGACATTGACATATATGTATAATATTGGAAGCCTTGTGTATGTACACTGTAGCTGTGCACCAAGAATCAACATGGGATGACTAACTATCACAAGGCTTGTACAGTGTATTTCTGAGCCTTGAAACACACAGATCTACAATGTTGTTTTTTGTTACTGCCTAGTTACTGGTTACAATAGCCTTCAATCAAGCTGTAAAACTTCACTCCCTCAAGATACAAGGTCCAGATGATGGTAAGTGGATCAGCCATTGTACTGCTCATAAAACCAATATTTTTTTGGCGACATTCCCATTGTTGTTGCCATTGTTCCTTACCTTAATAAGAGGTGCAACACTTGATGTACATCCAATCCTCCAGTCTGATCAATGGGGTTTACTCAGTCCCATGAACCAAACAAAGTCCAGTCAAGCTGTAACTCTCACAGGAACAGCTTCCATTTTACGGAACTTACAAATTTATGTCATCTTAAACTTTGCAAATTCATGTTGTAATATTTTTCAATAGCACAATATACCCAGGGGGGTTATGGTTAATGATGATGACGATGATGAAAGCGTACATTTAGTATTTCAGTGCTGCATCCTTCATGGATGTCTCTTTTAATCTGTTTAGGAAAAGTTTTGGGTGGGAGTCAACATTGTGGTGAGGGAGGGTGTAGAAAGGAGTAATATTGGAAAGCATACATGTACATGTGTGAAAATATGTAAAATCATTCTGTAGAATTGTGGAGCATGTTGTACCAACATTTCTGATTACTGTTTTTTCAGGGAGAGGACCAAAAACAGTGAAACTGTTCACAAACCATCCAAATAGCATGGATTTTGACTCTGCTGAAAACTTTCAAGCAGTGCAGACTCTTGAGTATGTCACTCATGTGTTAGATTTAACTATTTATATACTTTGTGATTTTCTTGGTGAAAATCTCTCAAGGATCCTCAACATTTCTAGAGGATCTCCATATCTTCATGACAATCTTATCAAGGATAATCCTCAAAGATTTTTTTTACATTTGATTTTGTTTCCAGTTCAATGGCTTACATCAATTTGCAAAAAAAAAAAAAAAAATTGGCTGAAAATTAATATATGGCTCTTAAGTTTACATCTTTCAGTATCTTACATGTACGTTACATTACACGTGAAAGAAAAAAAATACAGAAGAAAAAGGACAACAAGAACAAAGGACAAAAATATATAAATGAATAACTTCATGATTACAAGAAGTAAATCAAGCTACATAAATTTTATTATTTCTTTTGTTAGTATTTATTTAATATTGATTTGATTTATTTCTGGCCAGGGCTAAATAACCATTTCTTTTCAAAATAATCTAAAACATTTATAAAATTTTACATTCAGTTTCATATTTTGTAGCCATTTTGTTCTGATAACCTTGAATTTTAGGGGGTGTACATTGTAGTTGGTTTCTTCTGTAGTCTCACAATAACAGCTTTCCAACAATAATAGAGGATCCTGAAAGATCCTCTTCTGAGAAATTTTATGTGCTATATTTATAAAGATTCTTGCCAAGGTACATGTATTTAAAGGATCTTTACAAGCCAACAGATGAGTGTCTCCACAGCTTTTTCTAATTCTCCCAAACTTTCACAAGTGTTTCAGTCCATAACTCAATAGAGACACTTGTAAAAAAAAAGTGTTTTTTTTTTTAATCTTTTGTAGAAAATGGTCCAAAGAAAATAACAAAGTTACATAACTATTACTGACAACTTTTCTGTTTTTCTATGGAGTTATAGAATATGATTTTAACCAATCAGTGTCTATAATATTATTTTCTTTGGGATATTTTCCCTACAAATATTGTGCAATCATAAAACCCAGTAAGAGCGTTTAAGCAAGCACTAGGGGAGGTCCTATGTTTTATTGTACTGTACAAATATATGTCCAAGCTACTGAAAATAAATATTTATTTGAGTTGATGTATATTTTCAGCCGTAATTTTCTCATTCAACAGTCTGTATTTTCATTAATACAATGTTATTTTACAATGTTACAATGTTATTTAATTGTGCAGATTGACACCAGATGATATAAAAGATGATGTCATAACCCCACTGAAATTTGTCAAATTTCAAAATGTTAATAGTCTAACAGTAAGTAGACCTCGGTGCTTAATATATTTACTAATCAATGAATTTAATGCAGTCATAAAATTTTGTAGTTATTATATTACTAGAAACTTTTGTTACTTTCTCTCTTGATATACTAACTAAAGATAGATACAGTGTACTTGTAAGTCCAATAAGAAAATCCTTCCTTTCTAATGTTCTGTTCTGCAGTTATTTTTTCAAAACAATCAAGGAGGTGAAGAAACTACTGTGTTGGAGTATATTGGATTTATTGGAAGCCCTTTAGATTCAACTAATATGGAGGAATTTAAAAGGGTAAGGTCCGTCATTTTGAAACAAGCTACAAACTCTAAGAGTCAACTGGTACAGTTTCATCAGTTGTACAATTTGCCATATGAGAACTTTGACTAGGTCCCTTCTGTATAAATTTGATTGCACTGAAAAACTTCTAAGTACCCATAATGAAATACAGTTTCACTCTTTTGAAAACTGCTCTAAAATGACTTTAATAACACTGCTACAGCTGTAGTACTTGTCTGACAAGATTATCTTGTGCATTGTGCACAATGATTTTTCACTCTTCTTTTTTTCTGTATTTTTTTTTGTTTCATTCAGGTGGCTGGAAAGAAAGGAGACAGGCACTGAGACCAAAACCATGCTGCTTGATTTGCCTGCCTGAGCAGATGAAATAGTTTTGATAAGATTCTATTCACACAGTTCTCAAAATTAATAGTGATACAATCAGCTGTAATGCTTGGCACAGAATGTTCAAAAATATCTTAACTCCACAACCAAAATGCATCACTCAAGAGAGAGACTCATCATGACCAGCTGGCATGTAAGGTGAAAGGCAACTTACCTGGAAAAAAGCACTAATTGTAATGGTTTTGCAAAGATTTTACCTGCAGTCTCAAATTTTTCTCAATTTTTGAGAATTTCTATTGCATTAAATACTGGTCAGTTATATTTTTAGAGAGCAAGTGTCCATGTATGAAACAAGTCACCATCCAAATGCTGTCAATTAAAGCAATTAGTTTGCAAGAAGGCTCCTTGTTAGCACTTAGTTGATTAAACAACTGGCATCAATAATGATAAGTTAACCTGGCAAAACAAACTTGGAATTAAAACTGGGTTTTCAAGCATTAGCCCATTATCAAAGCAAAATCTATGAGTCACATTAACATGTAAAGCACAAACTAACCCATCAAACAATGTCTTGCCACGAATGAAAGTGGCAAACGTTTTCAAGAATAGTTTACTACGTCCTGCCCTAACTAATTATTATAACTGTCAAGGCAGAGTCTCTGAAGACGTGTTCAATCATTCAGTGATCATAGCAGTTTTTTCTGAGAGCACCATAAGAAGGGAAAAGGGCATTTTAGTTCAAGCAAACATTCTTGTGTAGATGTTGTAGGTCAAAATGAAATTCAGGTTAAAATGATTTTAACCCAGTGTTATTCTCAATTTCCTGTGTCTTCTAACCCTAATTATTCATGATCCATGAATATTTAGGGTTGAGAGACAAAGGAATTTCATTTTAACCAGAATTTCATTTTAACCTGAATTTCATTTTGACCTATAACATAGATACAAAGAAGTGAAGAGGCAAACTCTTCTAAGACTCATGACAAACCCTTATCTCTCTTTTGCATTTAGCTCAGCTGTCCACACTTGCAACATAACAAATGACCATGAAAATGTGTAAAAGAAAAGAGCTTTTTTTTCCTTGTGTTAAATGCTTACTGCATTATATCCCAGTTATGTTGTGCTGTGTGCACCAGCAACTGACAACAGTGATCAACTAAAGGTGTCTGTTTAATTTGTTTGCATTACTTTGTTTTCATATAATTTGCCAGTACAGAGCAGGCCTCACACTACTAACAGACTTACAAGTGATTTTCGTCCAAGTATGTGAATCTAGTTTCAGTAGAAGATTGCCATATTAAATTTTTTTTTTTACAAAATTACAGTAATTTCATATTTAGGAAGCACGAATGCAACCAACCATCCATTTATGGCCTCCAAATAAATAATTTGTTGTTCAAGACATTGTACATGGTCATCTTTTATCTACTTTTCCAATCACTTTAAAAGCATATATATCAGAAAAGTACAAACCAAGATGAAAGAATGTTTACTTAAATACATTTAGTAATTCTCCCATACACCATAAATAGCTAAAAATGCAGACATATAGCCGGATCTTTCAGCAAGTGCTTTACCTTGGCTATTCATTTTCATTTTCTGTCATTTTTTGAAAAAGAGTAAGATAAAAATAAAATACTAATAATAATAGTTGTTTTACAACAATATTGTTGTAAAAAACCAGTCCTTCCATACAACCATAGTTAAATTAAAATCAATTAATTATTAAATAGATCTTTCAAACCAATGCAAGTCAGGCACAGCAACTGTGGGCTATTTTATGACCCTCAAACAAGCATTAATTTTGGTCTCCTTTGCAGCTCTCTCTGCATGCTGAATAGCCTGGCAGTTCCCCTTAGTATGATATTCATCTTCTTATTCAGTTCTATACTACAGTGGAACCTTGATTTAATGAAGTTGCTGGGGACCAGCCAAATTTGTTCATTAAATCGAGGGTTTGTTATATCAAAAACCTTTTTTTTTTTTAATTTTTTTTAAAATTTTTTTAAATAATACTAGTGAGCAGCACTTCAGCAACAGATCTTGTCAACTTGCTTTATTTTCTCTGACCAGTTTCGTCTGATCATACAGACTTCATCAGGGAGTTTGAACAAGATACATAAAGGAACTTATTTTATACTTATTCTTTAGAGTACAAATCACGTTC